GATATTAGGAAGTTTATGGCTTATTAGTAACGCGTTTATTCGACGTGGAGTCGGGATGTAGACTGATTTAGACATTGAAATTAAATATATTTTAGTGGAGACGTTAACTAATGGAAGGGTTTCAATTGTTGACAAAAATGTTACAAGTGTACAGTATCTTTCATATGGTTTATGTCCGGATATAAACCGACTCATATATCGATCATTTCTTTATAAAAACTAGAAATAAATAGCAAACAACATAGTCCAAAAAACTTAATATTGAATAGAGAAACTAAATATTATAAAATTTAAATAATTGATTATAATATTATTCATAAAATATTAAACAGGACACATGGCATATCCTCCATATAAAACTACTGATAATAATATTACTGCTAAATATCTAGTAAATAAAATTCAATCTTTATTAATAGGTTTAAACGATTAATAAAATGCATTAAGAAAAAACGCCCCCTAAAACCATGGATTACAGTAGGAATGGTTACAATAGGACAATTATTCATCGTGATAAATTAACTAAAAATAATTTTAATGACACAGAACTATATCAAACATATACAGTATAGAAATACATGCAATAAAATGGTCAAGAAGTTATATTGTGAAACAGAATTTAAAAAACACTGGTGTAGTAACGAAGCCTGGAAAATTGTCAAAGAAGTATGTAACTTAAAACTAATATACGATTCTTGTACAGATCTCTTAAATATCAAAAGTAATCCAGTGGTTCCCTAGATATAATTAACGAATACTTTCCAAATGTAGGCAAAACTTAACAAATTACACGCTGACGAAATTCAGAATTACAGATAATGAATTGACCAAAATAGACAATCGTTAGATTTGTTGAGAGTAGTGGACATTGAGAATTGTGGTATAGTTGTACAGTATTGTCTTAGTTCAAAAATTATCATTATTAAAGTCAATAAATTGAGAGCCATCTGTAACTATGGAACCCACAGCGAAATACGCTGGCTCTTTACTATGCATAAACGAGCTTTGGTATTCATAAACGAGCTCAATAAACTCATGATACAAAATGCGGATATTCTAGCCTAGATGATACGATTATACTCTTTCATGCAAACACATGTGTAGCTGACATATGGCAGAACACGGACTCTCGAAAGCGTCCAGATGGCTAGCAGACAGTCTGTTAACATTAAATACAACAAATACTACATTTTTATGTTTTAATATCACTGCGACAAACGCCCTTAGATATAAAGTTTAGGGGCGTATGTAGCAATAATAGTAAGCAGTGATATTGACCATACATACATTTCCTTACAATCGTGGTACTCAAAAATTGTACGACAGTCGACAATATAAAATACCTTGATGTTATGACAGATGAGGGACTGAAATGGGATACGTGTTTGAAAATCTTAGAGATGTTGCACATGAAACTCTCATAATACAGGTCTATAAAGAACTCTGTGTGTCTCTAATAAACTACTTTATTCGTTCATGGGGTGGCGCAAGAAAAACCTGTACAAAAGAGTGGTATTGAAAGTATTGCTTCGTTCAGTCTTTCCTATTTCCTACCTACAAGCTTTATCAGGTTCTAAGCGTTAGAAAATTATACATCGTTAACTGTAGAATGAAGTACCAAAGACAAACTGTACCATGTTTAATTATAGTAGAAAACAAAGAATCGATCGTTGCCCAGTACTATTCGCCACAATAAGTTTTGTCCAAAGACACTATATCTTCCACGCACCTCAGTTATATAATGTAGTAAACAAATTATAGAGAATAAAATAGACGAAAAAACACAATTAAGAAAGATACTAAAATACTGTAAAATAAAAGATATATTAAAAAATTTGCCCAGGTATTAATTAATTACATATAAAAGAAGCCATAGTAAAAAAAAACTGCATAAATATAAATTATATAAACAACACACTCACACACACTCCTAATCGACTACATGGACACTATATAATATTTTTTTCTTCTTCATTTCTTTATTTTGTTTTCTATGTTTTATGTTAACCTCAAATCATGAACAATGTAGCATGTAAAAAAGAATAGTGTGTTTTTTATACATTTTTTTCTTATTATATTTAAAAATATTTTTTTATATTATATACCTGTATTTACTCAATCATCTACAAATTTACTTAAAATGTCTATAGTATGTTGTCTGGAACTGGCTTTCGTGGCACAGATTTACCTATTTCGAAAGCCAGGGCTATTTATTTTATAATGATTTGACTATAAATGAATGTAATTGTTGTCTCAGTTTCACATCTATGTATATATTATTATTGCTTATATTGGTCAATAAAATATTAAATTAAACCGTGATGTGACCAGTTTTGGAGTAATATATAAAAATAAGTCCCCAAATACAGACGTTAATAATAATATACAGAAAGAAAATTATTTTAAGTTGACGGGAAAGGGATGAAATAATTAAAAAAGGGTTGAAAAACGCCTTTTCTGAAAATAACTCGATAACGCTAAGAAATGTAACAAAATATCTCAAATAAAAGTTGTAGAGAAAAATATATTACATAAAAAGATCCTCTTCATTTTCTCATTATCTGCTGTTAATTACATTAACAGCCACAAAAATTTAAAAAACTATTTTGCTTATTATATATTGCGCAAAACTGGTCGCATCATGGTTTAATTTAATATTTTATTGTACCAATACTTGTATACATAATTTTCTCCAAACAGCAAAAACAAACAATATAAATAACGTACTTAGCTTTCTTCCTTTTGTTATCAGTGGAATCTGCAGAAGACTTATTATATATTTTTCATTCCAGCAATATGAAAAAGTACATGTATATTCTAGGAATCGCTGTAGTGTCGAGTATAATTTTGCTAATTGTGGGGTGCATTTTAGTGACGACGTATATACAGGTACATAACCATATTTATTATTTAATACATATATAATAACGTTAAATAATAATAACACAGTAATAACCGTCCATAAATTAAATAGAAAATCTTATAATATTTAATATTTTTTTTATAAATATTTTGCAATTTTATTCAATATTATATAAACATTTTAAATTTGTCACTAATAGGACATATTTCAATGTTTTATTAGATTTTGAAATGTGATGTCGCAAAATCTGGTATCCCTTTGTTATATTAAAGGTTTTTAATATAAAATATTATATAAATAAAATATCAGTTTGAAATGTTGACAGAATCTGTTTATTGTTCTTAAGTCTTAATTATAATTCTTTCACTAAGAATATTCCCAATACAATATTCACAACAGAGTGTTGTGTATATGGAATATTTTTAGTATATCCCTCTCATACAACGTTACACATTGGTGTATAAGCAAGCCAGTTATTGTACTCAATAAAGGAAAATGACATAAATTATATAAGTAACCTAAACAAATTGGGTATAGGTATCTTAAATTTTCCTCAATGTTATTTACATAGTAGGTAGTATATGTACTAAGAATATTATAAATAATACCTAATGAATTGATGTTATAAAGTATATTGTCGGGATTAATATATTTTTAACTTTTTTGAGACCTTAATATACCCTTCTTGTAAAACCCCATTCTGTAGTCCCATGAGAACACAGTCCGTTGTATATTCGGTAGAATACACAAAGCGTCAAACAGTCTCGCCTCTCGGGATCATCGACAATTCTCAAAGCACGTCTCTGAACCGAGTCCAAAGGACCGAGCTGTTATCCAGATGTTGCGGTTCAAAGATGAGAGCAGTAGCCCATATGTGGCCGAACCTGCGCCTTATATAAGAGAAATTTCTGATCCGCAGTGAAGTACCGCTTCGCTCTTTTGAGCACACCTACCTTTTTGGAGTCCAGCTTCACCATTTCTTCGAGGTGACTACGGAACTCAGCTGTGCTAGAGATGTCGACAACGAGAATACCAATACTCTTAGATATGGCCATGGACGTGTTCTAGAATTCTGAAGCCATAGCAAAAGAGATTTTCTTAGTGGTTAACGCGCAGGCTTGTGTCTTGGTAGCGTTGAATTGACTAAGTTCAATCGCTCCCAATTGGAGACTGGTAAGAGTGCTCTTGATTTCAGACACAAGCTGTTCGCGGTTTGCCTCCACAACGGAAAGAGGGATGTTAGCATGGCCCGTGTAAAATGCGTCCCCAGTAATCCCATCCGCATAACAATGAATGTTAACTGTAGTTAACAAATCATTGATATGTAGCAGAAATAGTGCCAGGGAGAGAACAGAGTCTTGAGAGATGTCAGCGTTAATGTCCATGCTATCGGAGTTTCTACCATCGACCACGGTTTTGACGCATCTGCCAGGGGAAAAACTGCATTTGACAAGCAACCCATTTGCGTAATCCCACTGGTCTATCAATCAATCCCACCTTGATGCTAAACTCGATCGTATGCCTTCACTATGACTAGACTGACTGCCAACGACTCACCTTTACTCTCGATGGCAAGAGCGCAGTGGTGTATGAGATACACTAAAAGATCACCAGTTGAGCGATTATGGCGAAGGTCATATTGACGATCGCACAATCAATCGTGATCCTCTAGGTATCCAAAGAGCTGTGTATTAATTACTGCTCCATCACCTTGGATAGTAGAGATGCGATACTGATAGGCCAGTAGTTGCGATGGGTTTGATCTGTCGTCCTTTCCTATTATCCTCCACTGGTGCCCCGCCGCAGGAGGAGGGCAGCCATACCATTATCATTCTTAAAAAAAATAGAATTGACTATCATTGCTGGGGCGACTTACTTACACCAACTTAGACCGGAAGTACGCGAGTTCATGTCTGCTCAGGAGCAAAAAACGGTTGCGTAGGTATCAATTTCTATTTCTTTCTGATTTCTTGTATTTCGCCTAAAATGACGTCGAAAGTTAATTGCCTCTGACTACCCCAACAGATAACAGGCGAGGACAACAGGCTACATTTATTTACAAAAGTTCGTAATATTTGGATAGATTATTATTACAGTAGATATCTATACAAACTTAAGTCACACATTAATATAATTACAGAAAATCGAGAGGAAGATAGAGAACAACTACACAGAATGTATAGAAAAAAACACAAACAAAAAGTGTGCAGAATCCGTTACAAAACCCAACAAAACTTGCACCTGTATATTGTACATTAAGATTACTGAAAAGTTTTATGGAGAGCGGATTAAGTTATATTTTGAGTTGCCATCATATCAGGAGCCAAATAATAATCAGTAAGTTCACTTTTATGTCTATATAACCCTTTCTTGAAAAGGTATGTCGTGTTCTTTAGATTTCATTAGTAATCTGATGTCAATTGAACACCGACAATGGTTGGTTATGGATGGAATGAGGGCATCGGAGGAAGGGGCAATCGAATGAGGGCATCCACAGAACAAAATAGTAGACTAAGTTTTTTGTTCAATGGGATTTTTAGCAAGGTAGACTAAAATATAACTATATCATACATATACACATACTAGCCTTATCCGCGACTTCGTCCGCGTAAAATAGTGAACTTGACTAAATAATGAAAAAAATATTTAACGACCTAACCCAATAAAAGCCAAATAAAAAAGTTTCATTGTTTCATCTTCAAAAATGACGATTCTTCCATACAATCTTTCATCCCCAATTTCAACCCCTTACAACCCTTTTTCGCATTAAAATGTAGCCTATGTCCTTTCTAAGGGTCTAGACTATTTGTGTACCAAATTTCATTTAAATCGGTTCAGTAGTTTTGGCGTGAAAGCGAGACAGACAGACAGACAGAGTTACTTTCGCATTTATAATATTAGTAAGGAGTAAGGATATAACAATGAAAGATTTTTAAAAAGTCACAATGAAACAAGTTTTGTGCTATTTTAATTCTGCTCCTATTGGTCGTAGCGTGATGTTATATTTTAAAAACAACACAATTTAAAAACAAATTTAACTTTTAAGTTCTTTATAATATTAGTATAGATATATCTATACATATAAATAAAATTGGAGTGTATGGTTGTAATATTGAAATAACTGATTTTTACTACATGCATATGAATATAAATACGGCACTTACATCAAAATAACATTTTTTACAATTTTTGTCTGTCTGTCTGTTTGTTCCGGCTAATCTCTGAAATGTCTGGACCGATTTTGACGGAACTTTCTTTGGCAGGTAGGTAATGTAATAAGGAGTAACTTGGCTACTTTTATTCTAGTAAAATAAAGTTTAATTCCACGCGGACGAAGTCGCGTGTACAGCTAGTATTAAATACAAAGAGATGATGTATTTTTTTTGAGGATGATAATGGAATGGTGCACCCGCCTGCGCTAACGGTTTACGCTGGCGGGGCACCAGTGGAGCATGATAAGATGAGCCCAGTTAGCCCATGACAAATTCACCAGGAATTTAACACGATGATTTCCAGGGGGAACCTTATTATATTATTTTGCTAAGTAAAATCACGATATGTAGGGTAAGTTCGGATTACTTTTAATTTTACAAAGGGTTTTTAGCCCTAAATATTAAACTTAAATTAAATACTTTGCAATCCTTGGTCAGCCAAAACATGCCAATGCCATGCCAAACAATAAAATAGAAGGTAGAATGGTATTTTTTTAGATATTTTATTCTAAAAAGGAAACTGCGTGCCATGCAAGTAAATAAAAATTTATATTGAGGTATAATCAATCCCTATACATAGTTTTCATAACCCATTTGAATTTTTCATTTCGGACCTTTTTGCTTGAAAAAAGTTTTTTTACAATATTTTCATTCCATGGTGATGACTTGATGATATTTATATTTGTTCCGTGTTACATACTGCACAAAGCATGGGCGGATCTACCTACGGGCTCTATAGGCTGCAGCCCAGGGCCTTGTGGATATAAAGGGCCCCCAGCCCTCACTGAAAACAATACGCGATATTTAGATTAAAAAATCTACAATATTAAAAAACCTATAAGATTCATAACCCTGAGATTAATCAACCCATGGATGTGCGCGTCTACCGAACGGAACGGGAAATTTCCTGTCGCTTATTTTGTACCTACTCATACCGTCACGTCATACTCATTGCGGCCGTACCGTCGTGCATCAGAGATTTTTTCGGTCATTAGGTACACCTAGTCGACCATACATTAGTCCTCGGGAGAAAAATACAACACATTAGAATATAATAGAAAAATCTTTATTCAATTAACTTTAATTTAAGCTCTCTTTATGAACGGGGATCCTATTTTTGGCGTAATTTTGTGATATTTTTAATTCGGCTCTTTCCTTGCCTAGTTATTGTGCCATCAAATGTAGAAATTACGTAATCTATATCTATACTTATAAGATTATTATTATTGATAAGAGAATTTGTAGAGGTCAATTCTGTCTGTCTGTGTATGTTCGTTATAGAAACAAAAACTACTCGACGGATTTTAACGAAACTTGGTACAATTATTCTTCATATTCCTGGGCAGGTTATAGTATACTTTTCTTCACGCTAGGATCAATAGGAGCAGAGCAGTTAAAGGAAATGTTAGGAAAACGGGAGAAGTTACTCCATTTTTAAGCTTACGTCGCGTGTGCAGCCTTAATGGTTAAAGCTACACAGAAATCGTGTATGACGGAAATGGTTGACTCATATATACCTATTTAATTAAAAGAATAATATAAATCGGTATAGATATATCATGTTATAAGGATTATTTTTGTGTAACGGTCGAGGGAACGTATAAACAGGCGGGGTCCGAGCGCGAGCTTCTTACAATATTTGGCTATTGATGCGAATAGAGTTTCAAAGCGTTTGACCTTATTGACATACAATCTATATCTATACTAATATTATAAAGAGGACAGATTTGTATTTTTGTGTGTATGTACAGGTATATATGTTTGTATTGAATAGGCTTCGAAACTACTGGACTGATTTGAAAAATTCTTTCCCTGATATACTTTTCATATCCCTGAGTGACATAGGCTATATTATATTTCCAAAAAAATTAGGGATCCTTACTGACTCCAATATAGAAAGAGAGAGTTAGTACCCAAAGTGTAAAAAATAAACAAAAAATATCTAACACCCGTGCGCTGCAAAAAGTATTGATGATAGAATAAAATTATTGAACACATCATTATCTACAAAAGTGTCGCGACAGCATGTCTTATAGTTATGTCACAATAAGTGTGTTTAATTTATAAATTTCATTGAAAAGTTATTAGTATCTTGCTATAGCAAGATACTAATAACTTTAATATTGATCCTTATCAAAATAAATTCACTTTAACTTCTTATTCACGACTGGTTCAATATTTTTACATAACTTTCTGAATTATTTAATTTGGACATTCCATTCGAAAGATATCACGTATGTATTTTAAAATGTAAGTATTAAAAAAACCCCGCTCGATTAGCTTTAAATCCAATGTATGTAACGATGTAGGTGGTCACTGGGGTACGAGAGGGGATACTTGCTAAAATAAGATAAACGACACCGTGCCTAATATTTCAGTTATTACCGGCATTAATAAATTCACTAAACCTTTCTGGATTGCCACCACACCAATTGACGTTAAAAATCGGAATACCGATAATCCTAACTGATCAACATAAGCCAATAACATTTAAACGGCTCCAATTTCTGGTTAAAATATAGCTATCTTTATTCGCGTGATAACCTGTAGTCCATGCGGGCGAAGCCACGAGCGGAAAGCTAGTCTAATATACATTTATATTATTTTGCTTGTTTTGATATACATATGTGGGAACAATACAATATAATGGTTCCCACATTCTGTCCTTTTCAGTATAGCAGTAAAAATAATATTCATATCTATAACTAGCTGTTATGTTACCCGTGTCTTTCTTTAGCTGCGAGGAATTTACTTTTTTTTGTGTAATTCCCGGTGCTACCGTAGACAATAGGAATGTGAATGGAAGGCCTGCTATGAAAAATGTTGCAAAACCTTAAATAATGTGATATAGGCGAAGTTACGCAGTTCAGCTAGTTTTATATAATATATACATACCTATATATGTATATCTATGTCCCCTCGTCGCCATGTAATCATCTACAATGTGTATTCATGTTCAATATGTATATAGATATATATAGTGGATACTGAGTTTTACTAGAGAGTTGTCATAAAGCTCTAATGTAAAATAAGTTGTAATTGTAAAGTTATTATTGTGACTCACCAACGTAATAATTTTGTTGATAACGTATGTGCCGGGGCGGGCTAGTCCAATTACTATAATCAACGTAGGAGTCATAAGCAGTCACTTAATCATCGTATATTGTTTACTTCTTTGTAAACTTTACAAAAATAATAATTTATACATAAAAAAAACAAAAATCAGTCAAACTACACAAAAAACAGAAAACATAAATCATATCAGTTGATACACCTTCATTTACCTTACATTTCATCCGGTATACGAATACCACCACTGACATAATGTCATCGTAGAACCATCGTACGCCTCCTACGAAATGCGACATCGATATAGGTACTTATTAATTTCTATATACGTGAATCAAAAACTTTGTACTCCTTTCATACAAGTTTATATAGAGAAGGAATGCAAAAAACGGTCAAATGAAATAACTAAATAATATTTTTTTACACACACTACCATGTATATGACACACAAACACGTGTATATATCCTTTTCTTTATTGTCTGTGATACTGCCAGTGCTTATGATTTTATCGAAGTATAATCTGTGACAATAGAACGCTAATGTTCAAACTTATAATTTAAATTATTATAGTTATGGTCATGAATTCCGACCACATGTTGACCAGTAGTATTAATTAAAATGTCCGTTAAAGTATGATGCTCGTTTATTATTTAATGACAGAGACAAAACGAATATGTTTGGTTGCAAATAAATGTTATAATTTTTTAACGGAGAAAGAGGTTTTACTTACGCAACAGAAATACAGCGTACGGAGTGGCACGCAGACGGCTTTGTAGAAAGTCTACGTTGGTGAAAATTGATACTGAAAAAAAAATTTTAATTTCTCTGAACGGTATATACTCATCCGGTATACATACATTCCACAGTACATTCAATCAGTGAGTTATTAGTTACATAAATAAAATTACAACCTAAATAAAGTAAAACGTTAACGTTAAATACGATAAGATAAAACATGTACCTAACTCATATAAAACTGTTCATAGTTGAATGTTTAATTAATGAACAAAAAAATATGTAGGATACATTATTAATTCGTAATTTGTACTATTAGCCTAAAATTAGAAGGTTTATAAAATAAATACATATTTTTTTTAAACTACGATGGTGGCAATCAAGAATACGGCCCATCTGATGGTAAATGGTTACCGTAGCCTATAGACGCCTGAAACACCAGGGGTATCACGTGCGCGTTGCCGACCCTTAAGAAACCTTAATATACCCTTCTTGGTTTCTACATAACTCCTTTTAATAATTCCGTTTAATAGATAGGTATGTGCTAGTTAGACCCGCATCCAAATATAATTGTCTGTGTTTTCAAAGAAAATTTTAATAACATTAATTACAATTGTAGTTTAACTACGAATCTACAGTGCTTCTTCTTTATATAACGTTCATATATACTCTAACTTACTAACGTATATTTGCATTAAAAATGTCCCTGTGTGGGTATACTCAATCTATTAGTGGTTTCCCCTAAGCATAGTTTAAAAATACACGCTAATTAGTTCATTGTAGTTAATTGTTTAGCCGAATTTAAAGTACCTACGATTTACATACGTGAAGATTATTTCATTCAACTGATTTTCAACATTAATTGCTATTATTTTTTCACAGGAACGAAGACCAATCACAAACTTCTGCAGGAATTCATAAGCCATGTATAAACAACAGGTTCAATGGTAAGCGTTGATGATCGTAGTGGTCCACCTTGTTCACTTAGTTTTAGTCGAAGATCCCGTGTTGAGGGAATTTATATTATTTAATAATATCTCTTTTTTTTAGATGGATTTTCCTTAAAAATAAACGGTTCTCGAGATAAATTTGAGACAGTGACGGATGAACCGTTTAGTAAAGGAGAGTCATCAGGAGGCCCAAGTAATATTTTGTTTTAATTAGTTTTATGTTGTGCGAATATAATATAACAAAACTATGCATTTATGGTATACTGCTACTGCAATATCGTTTTTTAAAACAATGCCTTATCTAGGCGTTTCAGTTTTTATACATATTAACGAAACACTTTAATCGTTACCTGATAGATGTATGAGTGTGTCAGTTCTCTGGGTTTTTCAACTCTTTTGTTCCCTATCCCTAATGTTATTCACATAGTATGATGCAGTAACCACATACCTAAATGCTATATATGAGTCTACTAGCTGTGCCCGTTTTTTACACATAGGCTATAAATTCATGCGGTTACCCGCATGAATTTATAGCCTATGTGTCATTCTGGTGTATAAATTATATTACATATTGTAAAGTTTCATTAAAGTTCGTTCTTTCCCGTTTTTTTACGGGAAAGAGATACAACATCCATCCATCTATCCATCCATACTCAGAAACTTTCGCATTTATAAGTATTACGTCGCGTTTATACTATTAGTAAAATTTTAAAATTAACAATAATTTCAATACCGGCATAATGTTCACGTTTATTAGCATACACTTGACTGTCCACAGGATATTACTAAGGTCAATGTAATCGTTATTGAATTATATTGGACAGTACGCTCAACACGTTTGCCTCACCCAAAATTCCTACGTGTAAAGTTGCCATTGATAAAAAAGAACTTACATTTTTTATCGTTTTTCTGCTGTAAATAGTTTCTTTTTAGGTTTTTCATAAATTTCCATCCAAAAACGTTATACCTGTATGTCTATGAATATCTTGATGTCGTCTGTTCATTATAATCAATACTAGTCCTAATAGGGATAATCCATAAAGTATGTCACACGATATTCATGATTTTTTAACGAACTATTAACAAATAACTTTCAAATATTTCCATCTTCCATATATATTTAATTTCTCATCTATACTAATACTATAAAGAGGTAAAGTTTAATGTTTGTTTGTTCGCGCTAATTTCCGGTTCTGCTGATCCGATTTAAATATTATTTCACTGTTAGAAAGGTATATTATCACCGAGTGCTTTAGGCTATATAACATTACGCTACAACCAAAAGGAGCGGAGTAGCAATGAATATTGTAGCAAAACATATTCATTTTGAGTGCTTCCGCTGTGGGGCGCTGCGTAAGCGGTTAAAGTTACGCATAAATATGTATGGCGGAATTGTTCTCCTCTAAAAGTTCTCGTTTGCGACAACATGTCTATCGTTTAAGGTTAACTTACTACAACAATTTTTATGGTAATCAAATTTCTTCTAAAATAATGCATCTTTTGCTAAGATGTTCTTAAAACTGGATATTAAATAATAAAACGGAAGAAGCTTAAATATTGGACCCATGTGGGTTGCTAGCACTGGTAAAAAATTTGCAAAATATGTGACATCAAACTAAGTAGGAGGGAGAGTCACATATGTTACGAGACGTAACATGGACGAATGAGGAAAAAAAACATGAAAATCGTGTTACTTAAATTATAGATGGCTTCTAAAAAATGGACACGTACGTATCAACGTTTAGCATGCATTCCGCATAAGTCATATATAATTAGACATAAATAATCTAGACACATAACCACAAGAAAGTATGACACTCCAGATATATCAGTTATAGCTTGATGGTTGCTATAGCTGTAAATATCACACCTCTTCAGAATATCGGCGTTTCACATGCGATTTCAAGTTCCGTACGCTTTCCTCTCTTCGCCCTATTTATTTCTAATTCCATCCCCTACTCACCCCTTTTTAAATAAGACCGGCAACACTCCTGCAATTCTTCCTGGTGTCTTGGGAGTTTATGGGTGGCGGTAAACGTTTGCCATAATGTATACCGCTAGTTCGTTTGCTTGCTATCCTATAAAACTTATCTACATCTATTTTCAATTCTAATAAAATTCGATTGGATTTTTAATCGATCTTCTAATTGTAGGGGAATAGAGTATTAATTTTAATAAGAGATATATTAAAACAACAAAAAATTATAATTAAAAATGTATCCATTTTCAGACTACACACAGACGTTGAATACGAGTTGTTTTGAAAATCGATTGTGGTATCTCAATGCCACTAATACACTTGAAAGTGGAAGTTATAAATTGCGCATTGATTACAGTGAGTTTTATATTTTTTGTAATTTTTAATGTTAACTACATTACTTCATTATTTCAAATTATATTAAATACCTAATTTAGAATATTAAACTATTGTGACTATATTAGGATAGACTTTTTTAAATGTACATGAAATGGCAAACAAGCTGATGATACACTTGATAGTCAACGGTGATCGTCGCCGGTATGTTCTTGAACTACGGAAATCACGTTATCATGTGATATCCGTGACACCACTCATGCGTTCCCATTCCAGAGGACTAAGGTGTTATTCGTCTTTTTGTTATTTTACCACCTACCTCCGGAACGCAGCTACAAAGCTTTGCTGTTTAAATAGGTACCCACGCAGACAACTTTTTACACTGTTTCGCTTGGATAATATTCTTAATAACAAAATAGGTATTAAATACGAATGCACTTTGCATGATTCAATGAAAACGATTTTGCTTTTATTTATCGAATGTCTAGCTGTATATGTATGTGTATCGGCTGGGGTTTAGCTATCGAATTGATCTCTTTTTCTTTCAATAGGATAGTGCTGGAGCACTATCCTATTGAAAGAAGATCCTATTGGAGAGTTTTGTCGTTAGACTGGCTTATCGCAAACAAATTTTTGCCGAATTAAATCTTCGCTTGCGTTACTAGCATATTTGACTGGTTTATACACAGATATACATATTTCATTACAGCATTTAGATATATATTGAAAGTATATTATATATTGAAAGTTACTTAAAATAAAATGCCTAACAAAAAAGATCGGGATCAATAAAAAAGATTGATTTTTAATTTAAAAATCAACATTATTTTATTAATCGTCCATCCATAAATTACTTATTAGCATAAATTTATTATTATTATAAACATGGGGGGACTATGACGATCTGTGAGTAATCATTTATGAGTAGGTATAATTGTTTGTATTGGTCTGGATGTGTGTGTATATCTGTCTTGTTGTGTATTTATAAAAAAAGCATTTGTCAGTTGCCTATAGTCTGTTTTTTAACCCCGGAGGCAAATTTGACATTACCAATGTTGCTAGGTTTTTAACTTTAGCTTTTTTAAGTAGTTAACTATAGGTAGTTAACTCAGTACGTAAATTTTGAAAATCTGTTGTGGAAATGTCATGTAAAGCTTTAAAACTAATATGTTGAAATTAATATTCCCGATTAAGAAATCGGTATCGCAGGTACAGCACTACCCCTGTTTACAGTTCAATTTCCACCATGCCGGCCACGTCTCTTATGACAATTTCATGGATCGTAATGTATAATAGTTTGATTAGTTTAATATCTAGTAACTTATGGATACACACTCTGTACCTAAGTGTCGTGTATAAGTATGCATAGCTTGGAACTAGAACGTTGTGTTAATTGGCTTGGGATATTATTATTACATATTCATTGCAGATTACCCAGTAACTGAATACAATGGAACGAGGATGTTTATATTGTCAACATACCGAATTGAAGAGAATAGGTATAAACGGGGAACAGGAATAGCACTGCTGAATCTCGGACCCTTATTATTTATAATAAGTGCTATCTTTTATTATAAAAATATACTTCACAAAAAAAATTGAAGGCATATATGTAGACTTTCTAATTAAAAAGGTAAAGCTTTTGCGCTAACGGTGTACGCTGACGAGTAAAGAACAGTAAAGAATGAAAGAATGAGTATTTGATATAATACTACATATACATATGTATGTATCTAAATTAGTAGTTATAAAATACGCAGCATTATATAATTAATAATTTAGATACATATACAGTAGTCGTATTGATAAACAGGCATTCGTCAGTCAATATAAAACCACTAATTATCATTCAGAACTACCATACAAATGACATCACATATATGGTTCAATAATTTAGAATTCGTATATACAGTGAATTATAGTAGATATATAATTTTATAAACTGACGACTACAGACTTTAATTATTAGAACTATTCACATCAGCAACGCATTTCAAAATACAGAATGCATTGAACTTACGTTTATCTAATCTACAATCATCAAATAGATTTTTTTAGGTCCTTCTTACGCATCAGATATCTACATTATGAATGAATCTACAATAGATAGTATTTCTTTAGCAAGATATTTATATAGATAAAAAAATTAAAACGTTATCAGTACAAACCAAATACTAAATTAATTTATATATTATTGCTTATCTTTTGCATGTATTGCATTTGCATTGTGACGCGTATTATTTATTGTACCTATTTCCACCACTCCACTATTCCTCTCTGTAACTGAAGTATTACAAACAAACAATTTAATATATATTCATCTATATATGGGCATGTTAAGCAGTGTGTTACAGAATGTCCATTGACAATGCGTGTTTTTGCTTTATTTATCTACTTTAATCACTTCCAGTACACATCCCAGTTTGGTATTAAAATTGGTCCAGTAAATTTTGCGTGACCCAAAGATACAGACAAAATTTTTAAAATATATTACATATCTATTTGATATGTAATTTGTTTTAAATAACTGGTGCTTTTTTATATATACATATAACCAAAGCCTAAATATAAATAATGCACATGTAAATATCAAAATGTTTCATCTGTGGATCCTACGTTTGTTATAGATTTTATTGATCTATGATGTTTTATAGGTAAGTGACTATTTGACAAGAAGGTAAAGAAAAAAACTTTGATACTCAAATGTTATTAATTATAGGCATATTTAGTATTAAATGACTATAGGATTTTGAACATGAATTTAATTAATTTTGGTATATAATTAAATCAGAAGTGTCGAGCGTCTTTTAGTAGATAGAACTCTACCTACTAACTGAAAACTTTGTCACTGACTCATATCTAATTATTTTAGGTTTAATACGGTCTCTCAATGTTATTAATAATATGATAAAATGGTCCCGCATTTTCGGATCGTTCTTATCATGGTTTTATTTATTCCTGATATCGTTGACGAGAATAACCTTCATGACTGTACAATTTTTTTTTTTCATAAATACTGACTTCAAGACTGAGATTTCAGGCTTCTTATACCTTATATCTCACTCTTCAACCGAAACGCATTTATTGAATTATTGCCATTAATTCAATAAAGGATAAATAAATTGCGAACTTAATGCCATTCTATAATTGCATTGTATATTAATTAATATGTTTACACATTTATTTATGGCTTGTTTTAAACTGTGTTTTTTATTGATTTTATGATGTATGATTGTAATTTAGATCTCAATATACAAAAGCAAACTCAATGTCCATTAAAAATATACAGTACATATATGAAGAATATTGTCTTACAATTATTTTAGAGCGTTTATTTAGTCTCAATAATATTGTCCGTGCGTTTCTACTTAATTACTTACATATTTGTTCTCTACAAATGGTTTGGTATTACTGATATGTTATGTTGTTTTTTTGACAACATTTGAGTACCGATCAATGTAATGGAGACCTAGTATATAAAATAAGTTTTATAAAATTACCAAAATTTTCATGTTAATCTAGTAGTATTTATTATTAATTTTGTGTCTGCTTTATTTCTATTTCGATATTTTGAAGTCACGCTAAAGTTAATAATAAGATAAATCTATGCTAAATAAGTGGACCTACGTATCCAAGAATATATTTATATACCATTTTTAAATAGGTATGCCTAATACTAATTAGAAAGCTTTAATAAGTGCCTACTCTGCGTTTCGTTGGGTGTTTGAAGTACATACTAGAAATATATGTATTATATTTATCTGGGTGATATAAATATGTTGTTATGTTAAGTTTCAAAAACGGTTTTTACTGTTTTTCTTTGCTACCAAACAAATTCGCGAATATCTCATTAACGGTCACAGTTATAGTAAAACAGATAGTGTTCGAGAAAATTGGATATAAAAAGTTATATCGTACAACATGTACTCCTTAATAGTATATATGAATCATATATGTATAAGTAAGTAAACGTCGAATATGTATTAAAATATCCGAAAATTTATTTATATTACAGTTTAAGAACACATAACCAAAATAAACACATACTACACCCTACGTTGGAAGCTATTCTATAGCGCAACAGAGAACAATATTTCGCCAAACTTATCCAGCTCTCTGAAAGTGAGCTGGATAAGTTTGGCGAATGAACCTATTGATCCTCTATTACTATTCCAATGCATAAGTTTTAAGATTTGACGATCAACTTCAATAATTTTTGGAATAGGTATGAACTAGATATATTTCCGTTATCACTCTTTGATGAGAATAGAATGTATAAATTTATAAATGCTTCCAGCCAGCAAACGTTGAGTTAGATACATCCAATTTTACTTACATATAATTGGTGGCGTAATTCTTTTACACCGTGTTGTTTGGAATAAGGAAGAAACATTAGATACATGTGTTCATTATGTAAATAAATATTACGGTAATAAAATAATGTTGTAATCGTATTCCATGGTTGTAACGATGACTAAAAAAATATCAAACTTTCTTCATATGCTGATATTGTCTTTGATGAATCTATGACTATTTAAACAAGTCAAGAAAAAATCCTTGCAAGTAACAATAGCATAGATTTATTTTTATGTTATGCGAAACATTTAAAGCTGCTAAGATCAGTGTAAAACAAACTCTAAAAGATGCTGATATTGTCATTATTGAAACTGCTATTGAGAAATCTGATAGAAGAACAAGTATTGTGTGCGTGGAAAAAAGGAAGGCGTGGAAAGGACTACACGTTTTATAGGAAACAAACATTAATTTTAAATATATTTTTTTTCGAAAACTATTAGATCTACGGACAAAATAATGAATAATGATTTGATAACCACTAAATTTTCTATAACTGTGACCGTTAATGATATTCGCGAAAAACTGTTTTTTGTGACGTTTGACCTCGAATAACTATTTTAGCAGAAAACGGATGAATGGGGACTTTGAGATTTTGTTTAGAACACTAAAAGTAAGGTTCATGCAAAAATCTAGCTTTCCCCTAATGATTCCGAAGTTCGGTCTTATTTTTGTCTTTATTGCCTGAACTATCAAGTCAATATACGAGATTGAATGTTTTAGAATTAAGTAGAAATTAGAAACATATTTTCCTTGGTGAAAGAAACAAGTGAGCTTCAAAAAGCCTCCGCTATACGTTGTAGTTTTAGTTGTATAAATTGTACAAGGCTCTTCATAATACTAAAAGTAAAAAAAAATGTGTATTCCCATTTATAACGTGTCTAAATGTTATGCAATACATATGTACTTTTATAGAAATAAGGAAAATTTAATGAATGCCTATTTTACACAATAGGCATTCATTAAATTTTCCTTATCCCTATGGTGGTCATAGAATTTATTGGAAATTTATTTGCCTTGGTGATAGTGCTCTTTATTGTATTTTGTTGTATAAAATAACAATAGAAAATGATGCGTTAATAAATATCAGGATTAATCATTACATAGTATAAAATAAAGTCGCTATCGCTGTCTGTCCCTATGTATGTTTAAATCTTTAAAACTACGAAACTAATTTTGAGGCGGTCTTTATAATAGATAGTGATTCTAGAGGAAGGTTTATATATATAATACATGTAGATAAACCCGTGCAAAGCCTGGGCGAGTAGCTAGTATATAATAAAATAGCGACTATTATGACCCACCTATATACACCCACTACTTAACTTTCTTTCAATTTGTTTTTTGTATATATTTATTCTTATTAGTAAGAGAAAAAAAAAATTTTTGTACTATATTTATAGCTGTAAACATTTTTTTAAATAATGTATACATTACTAACATTTTATAGAATTAGATATAAATCTTAGCACTTGACTTATTTGATAATACAAAGATTAATTTATGATATTCCGATATACGTTTTCTGATGACTTGCAAATCCAATAAGAAATATAATAGTAGATATACATATATAAATATCAGGACCGAAATACATATTTATTCATTCATTTAATTCGGACATGTATCCCATATTATGTTAGTAAACAATTTATAAACTATATTAGTAAATTACAATTTATATACATTCAATTCATGTATTTATGTCTATTTCCATGTCCAGAAGTACTGGGTTCGCAGCAGTGCAGTGATGTCCAGTGTCTCTGAGTGTACAATCTGACATATTTGCTATGGTGGTTAGGAGGCTGTTTGCGATCCCCCGAATTCTACACATCAATTATGCAGTTCTATTACGTATTATAGCTTCAAAGCTATCTATTCGCGCTGCTGCAAAGCTCTGATGCGCTACAGAACCGAGGAAGCCCAAACAACATCCTAAACCCATTATTATATAGTACGCGATGAGCGTTGCATGCCCTCTTTATATACCTAAACCACAGGCTGCACGTGTAATACGACTAACGCTTACGCTTAAACAACGTTGTCTTGTTGCTTGGCTCTTTGCCCGGGCGTACTGCTGGGGTGAACCACCCCAGCGTCATTCGTTTACCGGGCCGAGTCGAGGGCGGCTGTTATTAAGCAGCCGCCTGTAGGCGTCGTGTGGCGGGGATCATAATTTCGCTCGCCGAGCCGGCTTAACGCCGCTATGTCACGCAAGTGACGTGATCACTCGGTGGAGAGTAGATCGCGCGGGAGCGCGCGAGTCGCGTCCGGTGGGCGCGCGTGAAGGGGGGCGAAGTCGCGCAGGTGCGCTTCGCGCCCGCTGTCCGCTCGCGAGAACATCGCGCATGTCAACCGGACGACGAACTGCTCCACCGATTAGACCTTGAGGTCACGGGCGATCACGTCGTTACAGACGTACCGACCGGCATTTGTGCACAGACGGAGGGCGGCGTTTTGTTGGACCTGCAGTCTCCGCCGCTGTGAGGCCGAGCACAGTGCGTACCATGCGGGGGCGGCGTATGTGAGCCGCGAACGAATGTAGGTTTTGTAGATTTGTAGACCTTCGTTCGCAGCTGCAGCCTGGATTGTAGGAGCGGTCGCAGCATTGCGCGTGCGGCCCTTGACTGGGTCACGGCCCGGTCTACCTGCGCCTTCATGCGCAGCGACCGGTCTATTTTAACCCCTATGTAACGCACTGTGCATTCTCATTTTATGGGTTGACCTCTCAGTTGTAGGGGCGGCGGATAAGCGCACCGGTTGCGGGTGAGCAGCGCCACCGTCTTACCCACGTTGACGGCGGTTCGCCACTTATCCAGCCACTCGGGGAGCAGGTCCAACAGCCGCTGGATTTTGCGAGCGGCAACATAGGCTCGGCGAAACGACGTGAGGAATGCACTGTCGTCGGCGAATAGAGCGAGGGCGACATTCCTCTCTCCCTTTCGGAGCTCATCCCTCAAGGTGGGGATCTCGTCTGTGTACGTTGCTGAGCGCTGGCGATATGCAGCTGCCCTGCGGGACTCCGGCGGCGACTGGGCGCGTGGTGGAGTTACTATTCTCGACCGAAACATAGAAGCTCCGGCCAGAGAGGAATGGGTCCACTACCCGCACGTATGCGCGCGGCGTGCTCGTGCAACTTCGACACGAGGCCATCGTGCCAGACATGGTCGAACGCCTTCTCGATATCAAGGAAGACGGCGACCGTGAAGTGGCCACGATTGTGCTCGACACATAGGTGGTGGAGCACGCGCGTCATCTGCAAAGCCGTCGAGTGGCCGCCTCTGAAGCTGAACTGCTCGTCGCGAGGCGACAGTGTCGGCCTCAAGCGGCAGAGCAGGAGGCGCTCGAACGACTTTGCTACGTGCGAGAGCAGAGTGATTGGCCGGTAATTTGCCGGCAGGCGCTTGTCCTTGCCGGGTTTCGGGAGAACTATGACTCGCCCCAACTTCCAGCTGTTGGGGAAGTGGACGGTCCGGAGTATGCCGTTGTAGAGCCGGCAGGCGGCTGACGAGACGGCCGGCGGCCGCATACGCGACGTACGACTCGCTCGTGGTGCGTCGGCGGCGACGGGATTGGCCGTGAATTGCCCCTCCAGGTGCTGTGCCACGATTTCTGCCCGGTCCTGATGCTGCTGAGCTCCTCACGACGGCGAGAAGTCTCGTTTATGGTGGTGGTGGACGCCGCCATGGCGTCTAGCAAGACGGGCAGACGGGGATAAGTCGCCGTCGAGGTACAGATGATCGTTTGTGAGCTGTTGGTTTAGAGCGTATAGTAGGGGTAGATCATACAGCTCCTCCAGCTTCACGTCGTTATGACACCTTGCAAACCTACGGGCCAGCATATTACATCGGAC